TATATATATATATATATATATATATATATATATATATATATATATATGAATATGTACTCATTCACAGTGAATAGAGCTTTTTTCTTATGAGTGAATTTTATCAATTAATGTGAAAAGTAACACAATATTTGTTAGCTGGCTATTATACAAATCCACGTTAATTTAATGAGAGTGCTGCTTTGGCTCTATCTACTTGCCAAGTAAGACTTCTGCCATAGTTCTCTAAGAGACGGCAGTTTTCTTGGTCAGAAGTCATATGAGTACAGGGTGACTGGTCCAAGCATCTCGACATACTCAGAACTGACGTGCAGTAAAAAGGACTGAACTGCAGTGACAGTGACTCAGACATCCATGTAATGGGGGTGACTCCTGGGTCAGCATCTACAACCTGCCCTCCAACCCCACAGTGAAGCTCTTTTCCTCTCCCTCCTCCTGGCTGTGAGTCAACTGGAATAATAAAGGTCTGGTCAGTCAGGTACTGAGCTGTTTGATTTCTATATTAGATTGCACTTCCTAACCAGAAAGTTCCTACTGGTGTTTGCTTTGTTCTCTGATGGTACAGGACACATTTGCTTAAGCACACATATCTTCTTCATGATTTCTGTGGATGAAGAGACCTCAGTCCTATAGCCATGTCAAGTTGAAAATTGATGTCAGGGACTGATAGGTGCTTCAGGATGTACTACTCCAGACTGTTGCCAACACATTATAGCACATTCTTACAGGTTTCCAAGCCAAGCATGCTAGATGCTCACAGTACCATCCGGTGGGTATCATATCCATCAGGGAAAGCAACAGAGTCAGATTACAAGGAATTTGAGCCTCTGCATAGAACAATAGCTCAGAGAAGGTGACCTCTCCTGTCTTGTCAGATTTCTACCACATTACCAAACATAAAGAGTAACAACAGTGTTTGCTTTCTCAGATCCCACCATAGATATGCTCTTTCAACTAATAAGTATATAACAATTCCAAAACCTGTGCCAAAACTCAAGGGAATCCATGAGGTACTCCCTCTCTTCTGGGTAAAGGACTCAGACACTACTAGCTTAGAATAGTGTGTGAATAGAATTGTTACTTGGGTAATAATTTCAATTGCTATGTAACATAGAACATGGTGGAATGAAACAAGTCTTTTGCTCATCATTCTGGTAACAATTGAAATGCCTACTATTTGCACATTTCCTGTGGACCACACTGTGTTAAACCTGTACATAAGGATGCTCATTTAATGCTCACACCAACACAGGAAAATGATGCTATCAACAAGGTTGAGGCATCCAAGAAGCAAAGGAATGAAAGCTCCTGAGGTCTCACAATTATACAATGGCATCTTGCTATAAACCCAGTGATTAATCCCAAGCTTCTCCTTTCTAAATGACACTTGACTTACCCACTTCCCTGCCTGTTTATATTCCTTATCAATATGTGCAACCTACTTACAAATGTGAAACAAATATGAGGAACTTACTGAAGATCCAAGGGGTTTGGATTCTCAGTCACCCTTCCTCCCAAGGATCAGGTATGTGAAACTTTTGGCATCACTATTTTACCGAATAATAATATTAAGTCAAACCAGTTTCTCATTTCAAAGCTATTTCACATTTCTTCATGTTAAGTTGTTAGAACATATTTTTAGCTTACTGAGAGTATGTCTCTGTCTACAAATGTCTCAACTTCATTTAGCCAGTCAGTCCCATCCTGGTTTCAGCAGCCAGGAGCTCTGTGTGATTTCATCTGCAATGTTTCCTTTTTAAATACATGTTTGGCAGCTTGCTCTTTATTTTCACAATACAGAGTGCATTTGAGTGATAGAGTAATATCATATTACATATCTCATACACAGGACATATGCTCATTCAAATCATATTCCACTTATAATTGCTAAGATTAACATTAAGTGTATATTTGACTATGCTCCCGTATCCTTACTTAGAACTCAGTTTTGTAGAAGACATATTACTGCCCAATCTACCTGAACAGACATAACACAAACATGTTAAGTGGAAACTTTGCCCTTTTAGCTTCTAGCCCAGTTTTTCATATTTCATCCCTTTAAAGCCTGCATTTAGTAATCACACA